AGCAGAGGCTTGACAACCATATGTCAGGAGTGCTCTGATGGTGTTTCCTGCTTGGCAGGGGGTTGGACTCGATGGCCCTTGGGGTCTCTTCCAACTCTGTGATTCTATGATTCTATTCTATGTTCTATGGGCTTCTGAACACTTTTGTTCCACACTTGCAAATTTTAAGCTGCTTATATATTGTCATTTAAAAAGAAATCAGCTGCGATTCCTGCCTTGGGTCCCTTCCAACTCTAGAGTTTTATGGTTCTAAATATCATCCCATGAAGAAGAGGGGCATTTGACATGTGTGCAGGCAGATGAGGCACTGCTATGAAACGCCGAGAGATGAAGGCGTTTCTTTCCTTCCAGCGCAAAGCAGTCTCTCAAACTGAACGGGACAAAGCTTCCGTTCTTGAGAGGATTAAATCGTAATCCCTTCAATTACCTCCTTATTTTATTCCTGACATTTTTATTCCACCTGGCCTCCAGGGAGCTCGGGGTCAGGCCCCTGGGTTCCCTGGCCAGCGTGTCCTCACATTCACGACAACCCTGTGAGGTGGGTGAGGAGGCAGAGAGGACTTGGCGGTGGAAGCATTTGATAGGCGATGCAATAAAAGTGTTCCAGCACAAGAACTCATGCACATCCATTGGAGATTCGGGACAGATTAAAAATAAAGCACTTTTTCACGCAGCACAGACTTAAACCCTGGAACTCCCTTCCACTTGAAGCAGCGATGGCCATCAACCTGGGTGGCTTTAAAAGATGATGGAAAAAATCACGGAGGGCTTTCCGTGGCTACTCCTCAGAATGCCTATGGCCTGTCTCTGCTGGAAACCGCAGGAAGGAAGAACTTCTCTTGCGCTGAACTCCTGATTTCTGGTTTCCCATAATAGCCAGTGTGAAGAAGCGGGTGCTGGACTAAATGGGCCCCTTTGGCTTGACCCAGCAGGCTCTGCTTCCATTTCTCCGTTCCAGTTAAGCCGCTGCGGAGACCTTGTCGCTGCCTTCCTTGCCTGCCTTCCCCCTGAGCCCCAGCACCTAGTAACGGCCTGAGCCCAGAGGAGTGCTGCTGCTGCTGCTGCTGCTGCCGCTGTTCTGCTGCGTCCTCCGGTCTGGGATTAGAGAGAATCGCCAGCGCTGAGCCAGCAGAGGGCTGGCAGGCCAAGCCTCTTAGCAGCCGCAATCTGGGCTCAGCCCCTGTTGCCACTTGCAGGCCAAGAACACTGGCGGGGGGGGGGATTCAGTAATATCGGAAGGAGTGCCAGTTCTCGATGACTCTGTCCGCACAGATCCCAGGTCAGCTGGTGCCCCTGCAGTTATGATGGAGGGGAGGGTGACCTGGGTGTCTTGTAGCTGCAGAAAAGTCTTGCTCCACTGGAGCACCTGCCAGACCCTGGAGCACCTTGGAGTAGTAGTAGTAATAATAATAATAATAATAATAATAATAATAATAATAATAATTTGCCATGTGCTGACTACTACACGGTTAATGTCTAGGCACCAGTTAAAAGCACGTGTCTTTTTGCAAACATTTGGCAGCTCTTGATCAGTATTTCGTTCATGTTTTCAGCCTATTTATTTAACCCTTGGTAGACTTGGCTCTGGGCTTGGCTTGGCTCTATGTCCAGCTGTTTGTTTTGGTGGATTGCGCTGTTTCGCCTTCCTCCCAGGAGAGCCTGGGTGGGGTCCAAAGGCAGGATATTGATCTGTTTTGTGTGTGCACAGTGCCAGATTTACATATAAGCTAAACAAGCTATAGCCTAGGGCCCCACTCTCTTGGTGGGGGGGGGGAGGAAACTGTATTAATTGTATTTCAGTTCAACAATTACTTTGATAAAATACATATTTTGTGATGAGCAAATGGCTTGAGATACCTATTAGGTCCATCAATTAAATAATAATAATAATAATAATAATAATAATAATAATAATAATAATACTTTTTATTTATACCCCGCTCTTCCTGGCCACAGTCAGGATCAGGGTGTCTAACACCAGTAAAATTACAATAAAAACATAATGGGGGGGGCCCCAATTTAAAATACAGGTTAAAATACAATTTAAAAAGCAGCCTCATTTTAATAACAGCCCATCGATCAAAACCATAAGGGGAAGGAAATATAAGGGTCAGACAGAGTCCAGACCAAAGGCCAGGCGGAACAGCTCCGTCTTGCAGGCCCTGCAGAAAGATGTCAAGTCCCGCAGGGCCCTGGTCTCTTGGGACAGAGCGTTCTACCAAGTCGGGGCCA